AAAAAAAAAAAAAAAAAAAAAAAAAAAGAAAAAAAGCAACCAACTTTGACTCCTCACACCGCGCCAGGATAGAGAGCTCGCCTTGGGAACACCCGATGAAGGGCAGCAGAGATCGGTGCAAGTTCTGATGGATTATCGTGGCGCGCCCGCGGTGCAGGAGCAGCCCCGGCGTCCCGGTCCTGCCGCCCGCGCCTAGCGCCGGGCTCCGGCCGCGCTCCCTCCGCGCCCGCGCCGCGCCCGCACCCGCGGGGCTCCGCCGGGGGCTGCGCGCTCCGCCGGTCCCTTTCCTCTGCCTTTTTGTTATTTTTTTCTACCTTGACTTGTAACCCCCGACTCTTCGCAGATGTTAGTACACAGTTTTTCGGCTATGGTGAGTTGCTTCACGTTTCTCTCGGAGGGGGTTCGGTGCGCGCTGGGTGTTGCTATTGTTGTCGGCGGTGGCAGTGGGGGTTTCGCACCCAGCTTTCCGGAGAGGGCTTTTTTTCCTTTCTTTCATTTTTATAAATTCGGTGGTTTACATTTCTCCCTTTCTCTATATTTTCTTCCTTCCCCCTCCCTCTCCCTTGTCTTTTTTTCTTCTTTTTTAAAATTTTTTTTTGTCTGCTTCGAGAGAACGGCAAAAGCCTTTGCTTGGACCTTACTGCTTCGATTCCTTCACCTTGCCACCTGCAAACGTTGTATTTTCGCTTTCTCGTTTCCCTTTTTCGGGACCGTGGTTCCTTCCTTCGAATTCTCCTTCGTGGAGGCCATTCCTTTTGCCCCAGACATTTACGTGGGCTCATCTGCCCAGCCTCGAGAGCCGGCAGAACCGTGCCGAAACGCCCGGGCTAATTTCGGTGCCGCTCGCCCGTCGGGGCGGCGGCGCTTCCCCGGCTCCCTGCCGCATTCCTCCGCTTCCCCGGCGGCCGGGCCGCCGCTGCCCGCTCCGCTCCCGAATCGCACGCTGGCGAACCCGGGGTTCGGCCGGGCGTCGGGACGGCTCTCCCCGTAGGTAGGGGATCATGGCAGTGCTTTCTCCCCGAAACATTTCTAAAACTCTTGTGGGGAGCTACTGGTTTGTTTGGAGCCTATTTCGGCGTGCTCTGGTAACAAAATGGCAGTGGGCTTGGATTTTCCGGGGTTTTCTTGGGACGCGATCGGTAATGCCAGCGACAGTATTGATCTTGGTTCTGTTTAGGGCCAGAGGAAGGATTTTTGGTTGTGGCAGAATTATTATTTCAATAACGCTCGATTGTGAATTATTCTTTTTATCCGTGGGAAATACCTGCTCCTGAAATGCCGGGGCGCGATCTGTTGTGAATCCACGTTGTATCGCCGCAATGTTTTAGTAATTATTATTAGCTGTCCTATTCTAATTATTGCTATTATTGCTGTTATCATTATTGCCGTTATTATTGCTTTTTAAAAAGCGAGGCTGCCTCTTAATTATTTGGGAAGGGAAATCAGAGGCAGAGAGATCTCCAGATCTGCTTTTCTCCGCCTCGGAGACGATTATTTGCCCCTCATTGCCCTATAGATGAAATTTTCAAGGCGATTTTGAGGAAAATCAGTTTGATATTATCTTTGTTTTTCTTTTCTCCTTTCCCCCCCGCTCCCGCTCCCCACCTCAGGAGCGCCACGACAGTACCAGCAACGGGACAGCCCGGCTACCCCAGTTGGGGACCGTGGGTCAGTCTCCCTACACCAGCGCCCCACCGCTCTCCCACACCCCCAACGCCGACTTCCAGCCCCCTTACTTCCCCCCCCCTTACCAGCCCATCTACCCCCAGTCTCAGGACCCCTACTCCCACGTGAACGACCCGTACAGCCTCAACCCCCTCCATGCCCAGCCACAGCCCCAGCACCCAGGATGGCCGGGACAGAGGCAGAGCCAGGAGACGGGGCTGCTCCACACGCACCGGGGTTTGCCCCACCAGCTCTCGGGGCTCGACCCACGCAGGGACTACCGGCGGCACGACGACCTGCTGCACGCCCCGCACGGGCTGGGCTCGGGGCTGGCCGATCTGCCCCTCCACTCCATCCCCCACGCCATCGAGGACGTGCCGGTAAGCCAAGGGGGCCGCCCCGGGGCCCACCCGTCCCTCTTACCGCGGAGCTCAACGTCGTGGGGAGAGAGGGAGGGAGGAAGCGGAACAACCCCCCCCCCCCCCAAAAAAAAAAAAAAAAAAAAAGGGAGGAAGGGAAGAAGAGAACTCCCCCTCATCCCCCAGGGAAAAGTGAAGCCCCCACCTAGAACAAAAGGTTCTTGCAGCTCGTCCCTGCACAATGCCTCCCCACTAACTTGCCCACTAAAATATAAATAAATCAAATTACTGTCATCGTTAACAATATCTTTCCTTCTCAATGACAATAAGCTGTTACGATTGGAAGAATATATAATATCACCACAGGGCCGTGCATTTGGGGATTTCTTACTGCCTTGGGAAAGGCACGAGTCTGAAATGCCTGTGAGGACATTTAACGAGATCTCACAAATGTAAAGGGGGGGTAGGGGGGAAGTGGGTGAAAGTGGCCTAAGAAGTAAAAATTGGTTTCCCATGATTACAGGATTGGCATATGGGATAACCACATACAAACTTATAAGATGGTATGGGCAGATCCTCTTCTCTAAAGGAATTAATTGACAAATCAGGGAAGAGGTATACTAAAACGCTGCCGCCTTCTTTTAGTAGCGGTGGAAAGGGATGACCTCATAAATCATTACCTATAGGTTATCGAATTCGAGTCAGACCTGCTACACCCTATATTAAATTAAATGTTGGGAGCCTATTGGAGGATGCATTATTTGGGGGACCTAATTCTGTTATCGATGAGTACAGACTTTAAAAATGATTTCTAATTAAGCATGACATTAATGCACAGGCTACTTACAAAGCAAGCCAGGGCTATTGTTCAGTTAGGAAAGTGGCCTTATGCAACATGATAGGTCATGATCAAAGTTCATCTTTCTGGGTTTCTCCCCGAAAATGGAATTAGAACATAGCAATAAATTTATTAAAGCCCACAGAGCTCGTGCTGAGGGACTGAAGCTGCTCGACTTGCAGAAGGAAAGAGGAGGAGAGAACTGTGGTATCTGGATGTGATTTTTGCCGAAATGCCATCCCAAATTACAGGATCAAATATTACAACAATATATTTGCTGACAGTTTAATGAGTACAGTTTTGTGTTGCAAGGATAATGTTCAGATGAACTTACCTATTTTTGGGGGTCATTTTGAAATCTTTTATAAATTATACTCAGAGAAAATAGCGAATTTATTACAGCCCTCATCTGGCTAAATTAGCCACAGAAAATTGCTGGTTGTGTTTAGCAGTTTTGTAATAAACGCATACGTTTTCCAAAGTGGAGGATTTAGTAAGCAATTTGGATCCGTTAAAAGCAGGTCGACTCTTTAAACTTGATATAAAATAACATGGAGGCAATCGTAAGAATAAACTAATTTGTTGACTGCAAGCTCCTGATTGCTGTAGGAAGAACATGACCTAAAATGTTCTCTTGAATTCTCCCTCTCCTCAGTTGTGCTCCATGGCAGTGGGCTGATTCGGGAAGCCTCCTCTGCAGATCTATGAATTAATAGCACTGCTATACTTCGTGAAAACCAAATGCCATCTGGTTTAAATCCTTGAGCCAGCCTAGCCATTTTTTTTCCTCTGTAAGACTGAATCAGCAGGGTTCGTGTAGGAGAGTATAAAATAAGAGGGTACATCTTTTAGGTGTATTTTATCTAGTTAAAAAATAAAACAAATCCCTTACAGAAATCTGAGTTGGGAGGGTAATTTTTGAATTTTTCTGTTGTTGCAACAGTTAACCTTTAATAAAAACGACTGCTAAATATTTAAGAAAGTCAAGTAGATGGTGAAAATTATTTAATCATAAATATCTCTGTGGGATTTTAAACTTAACAGTCCTCCCTGTACGGAATATGTGTAGAAATAACACAAATAAAAGTATTATGCCACACTACATTTACTTTATGGGTTTAGGGTGCATGCATAAAGGGATCATATTTCCCCATATAGTTAAAACACAAGAACTGCAGCAGTAGTCATTTCTGAACATTTCTCAATTTAATTATACTTAAATCCAGAAGCACTTTAGGCAAGTTACAAATGAGAGCATTGAGTATAATAAAACCTGTAATAAAGCAACTTAGTACCATCCACCCGGAATCATTGAGATCAGGCACAATTAACAGGAGCATAAATCCAAGACAGAATGGAAAATGTTAGAATCAGTATTATTGTTGGACAAAGACTAGAGAAGGAAGTAATAGTTTTTTAAATGGTAATGCCTGGGTTTTGTAACGATTGCGAAATCTTCTATCTCAGCAGCACTGGTGTTAATTTGTAAACACAGCCAGACATTATATTGCCTGTCAGTTTTTGGAATTAGAAAACATGATTTCATTTGACTTTCTAATCACGTCGTGACTCCGCCGCGCGAACCCCAGCTGTAGCCGCGGCCGCGGAACCTGCGAGGGGACAATAGTGGGGGAGCCCGGGGGTGCTGGGCCCCCGGCCCCGCGCCGCTCCGCGCTCCTTTGTGCTTTCCCTCCCGCGGGCGCGGGAGCGGGCGCAGCGGCGGGCAAGGGCTGGGCCGGCCCGGGGCCGCTTCCCGGGGAGGAGGGAAGGGACAGCAGGAGGGAGCCCTCAGAAGCTTAAAGGCCGCTCGGGCCCCGGGGGCGTGTGAGTGATTTATTATATTTTTCTTGGGGATCGGAGGAAGAGCTAGGAGAGATGCAGGATTCTTCTTGATAAAGAAAATCCCCCCCCAAGTCTCCTTCTTCCCTTCTCCCTCCTCTTTTCCATGCAGGATCTGTTGTTTCCCTCCCCATACCGTGACCAGGAATGGGGGGGGACACGAAACTTCTCCTGCACCCCATCCCACCTCGGCCCTCCCTGCCTTTTGTTGTGGTCGTACACTGACATCCCTGCCTGTTCCCTTTTGTTGCAGCACGTAGAAGACCCCGGTATTAACATCCCAGATCAAACTGTAATTAAGAAAGGTAAGCTGTTTCCTTGCGCATACCAAACATGTCGTCACAGGCTGGGGACTGCTCGCAGGGAGGACTTACCCGGCCTCCCCCTCTCCCCTCCAGCCCCCTGGCCCCTGGCTCCTTCCTCTGGCATGTACTGTTGGCCGAAAGGTTGGAAGCAAAGAAAAACGGGCGATGCGGGTTGAAATCTATCCTCTTAAATGGCCACGTTTGCCGGGTATTTTAATTATTATTGTCGTTAACGAAGAAAAATGTTAGCAGATGATCTCTAGAAAATCCGAGGCAGTCTTTTAGTGCATTGGTGTACAATTGGGTTTCATGGTTTGCCCCATGCATCTGGCTGAGCAGAGGGCTTGAATCGTTGTTGGTAAACGGGGTTGTGAAAGTGAAATCGTTGTTCCCCCTCCTTCGGGTTTTCTTATTTGAATCATGTCGGTGATGAGGTGGACTGGTGGAGAACAAGGGGCGAGTTTCTAGAAACTGGTGTCTGTTGGTGGATAGGATGGTTTGGTTTTCGTTGGCTTTGTGCGCTTGCTTCACTTGGAATTGAATTGCTTGGAAGCTGGTACCCAAATCGTGCAAAATATTTATTGCAAATTTTCACTCGATTTTCATTTCCCGTCTTTCTTCGAACAACCGAATGACTGGGAAAGGTGGCACAGGGCATATTGCAAAGCAGGTTCTCGGCAGAAAGTGATGGGTTTTGTGTTTGGATGCTGTGCAGTGAGACGCTGTTGGAGTAAAACTGGCAGGGTGGAAGGCGCAGCTAGCTTCTGCCTGCTCTGAGGGGTGGCATGGCTGCTTGGCCGCCTGGAATTTGGGTACCCAAGCCACCACAGGAGAGAGGTGCTGAGTAGAGGCACTCTCCTCTCTAACCCTAATCACTGTACAGCCAGCGAACCTGAAGTTTCATACCCCCCCCCCCCCCCGCCTGTAAAGCCTTTGTCACGTCAAATTAGATGTGCAAGGGATAAATCTTAAGAGATGCTCTTTCCAAGTCGACATGATAATTGGCTCTTTTATTAGTAATCTCAAGAGTTCGTTTAACTCCTGTTGTATCTATTAGCCTTCCCAGAGCTATTAATGTCACAAGTGATCTATCCAAAACGGAGAGAAGCCCCCCGCTTGGTTGGACTGTGCCCGCCAAGCGCAGCGGGCTAAGGCAGAGGAGAAAGGGAAGGCGGCCGGGACCCGCGGCACCGAGCGGCCGCACGGCACGGCGCCTCCCCGCCGGCCAAGGACCAAACTATATTTTGGGGTGCTGGTTCTCCGCCGCGTTACGGGTTTTCCACGTCTAAATTTGTGCACTGCCGGGCTGTCGGGGCCCCAGGGTTGCCGCACATCCTGCCGGCTGCGCGGCTGCCGGGCACTGCGCGCCCGACACGGCGGTACCGACGTGCGGCACCCGGCGGCCTCGGCGCCCGGCAGGGGCTGCTGGCTCTTCTCAATTTCTCCGCTGCGGGTCGAGGGGTGTCCGGCTCTCTCCCTGCGCCTCCCGACTAGAGAGGGGACGGGTGCCCCCGCTGCGTCCCCGCTGCCCCGCAGGCGGTGCGGGGCCGGGGCTGGACGCAGAGAGCGGCTCGGGTGCTTCCCCCTCCGTCCCCGGCTCCCCGCCCGCTCCTCACCCTCACTTCCCTGCTCCTCCCTCCCTGCAGGCCCCGTGTCCCTCTCCAAGTCTAACAACAACGCCGTCTCCTCCATCCCCATCAACAAGGACGCGCTCTTCGGCGGGGTGGTGAACCCCAACGAGGTCTTCTGCTCGGTGCCGGGCCGCCTCTCGCTGCTCAGCTCCACCTCCAAGTACAAGGTCACGGTGGCGGAAGTGCAGAGACGCCTGTCGCCGCCCGAGTGCCTCAACGCCTCCCTGCTGGGCGGAGTGCTCCGGAGGTGAGGGGCGGGGGGACGCGGGAGGCGGGATGCCGGGCTGTGCCGTGCGGGAGGGAGGGAGGGAGGCAGGCAGGGAAGGAGGGATGGGATGGAGGCCGGGAAGGAGGAGGACGAGCGCCCACGCGGGGCGGTGGCGCGGGGGGAGTGCGGCGGCCGCCGCTAGGGGGCGGGGCGCGCGCGGCCGGCGGGGCAGCGCGGCCGGGCGGCGGGAGGGGGCCCCGGGCACGGTCGCCATGGCAACGCGCGGCCTTGCCCTGGGGGCCACTGCGTGTCCCTGGCCCTCCCGTGGCCGTGGGGGCTTCTGTGTGTCCCTGCCCCTGCGTGTCCTTGCCCCTCCCGTGGCCGTGAGCACCTCCGTGGCCCCCACACAAACACACACACACACACACACACACACACACACCCAGGACACCCTGCCATGGGCTCCCACCCTGTGGCCTCACCCCAGGCAATTAGGCAGTACCTGGGCAGGGAATAACGTCCAGGATTAATTAAGGCAGCTCCCAGCTCTGCAGCCCTGCTTAGCCCAGCTCTGCTGCGAAGCCACAGATGGGCTGCGTAGAGTTTGGCGTGAGGGTGGTGATGCTCTGGGGCTGCCGGCCCTGCAGATCGGTCTCCTCCTGTCACACCTGGGGAGAAGCTCCATGGCGCCTTGGGAGCTCAGGGAGACATCTCAAGGCTCCACATCAGCTCTGGGGTTTATCCGGACCCTAGTAGGGCCCGCTGTTCTCTAGATGTGGAAACATCCAAAGCACCATCCCTATTTCTGGGATTCAGCTTTCAGCAACAGTTGGTCTTGAGCTTCCCACAGCCATGTATCCCATCCCTTGTGCCTAAACCCTTTATTCCCTTCCTTGGGAAAGGATGTGTTGGGGGCATGTGTGGGCGGGAGCCAAAGTAGGGGCAGGTGTTTCCCCAAGCTCCATTTCTCAATGCCTTTCTTTGTGGAGCAGGGCAAAGTCGAAAAATGGAGGGAGATCTCTGAGGGAGAAACTGGACAAAATAGGACTAAACCTGCCAGCCGGGAGGCGTAAAGCTGCTAACGTTACCTTGCTCACATCACTCGTGGAGGGTAAGTGACTCAAAGAGCTGGGAGGGCTTGTTTGGAAAATGTGCCTATTGCTTTTGCCAAATGGGAGACGACTTGCTGTTAGGTCGTTCGGGTTTTCTTTCTCCTTTCCCAGAGTCAGTGCTGCTCATTGGCATTTGGAAGGTGTTATTTTCTATGTCTTAAAAAAAGATTGGGTTAATTGTGTGTCTTTGCTTTTTGTTATAACCTGAAACGGGTTTGTGCGAGTCCTGCAGACTCAGCAAAGTATTCTATTATTTATTTGCTTTTAAGTTTCGAGCTAGACGTTTTCAGGGCCCCATCTTGCTCGCTCATTCAAATGAGTAATCTGTCTGCGGAGTAAGCAGATCTCATTGGGAGCAGAAGGGAAGGATCCCTATGAAGGGGGATTGTGGGCTTAGCCCCATAAGAGACCCATGAGTATCAAGTTGGAAGTTAAGAGCAGCAGAGCCTCTAATACTTCACTGCTGTTCTTCTGCCACAGGTGGACAACCAAGCAATTTTAAATGTCAGAAACTCCAGCTACTTTAAGTTTGTTCTCCCTCCCAGCCTGCAGCCTAGTAAATCATTTAACTTTTCTGACATCTGCATTTGAGAAATGCGTGACCATTACTTCCTGAATTAATTTGGGAATCCTTGACCTCAGCCATGAATTAATGGTGTCCTGAAAGCCTCAAAGTTGCACCACTGCCAGCCCCCACTCCCTTTTGGTTCTCATTTTCAGAACACATGTTCCCTTGGCTATATCATTCTCCTCTGCTTTGCTTTGGCCGGAAAAGGTGCAACTTGCTTTTACTGCCTTGGGATGTCCTGTGCAGTCTGTACGGTGAGGTGGGAAGCTCAAGAGTGTGAAGTCATTCAGTTTTGAAGCAGTGGCTGTGTCACACTGGCTGACACCAAGTATGTCTGAGGCCTGCAGATAGACCCCTCTCCTTTCCCCTTACTTATGAGTTTGGCTGCGTTTTAGACTGGTTCCGTTTGTAAAGTGCTTTTAAACTCAGCCTGAGCTGCCCAGGTTCAGCTTAAGTTTGGTTGTGCAGGCGGGAATTTGTTTTGTTGTCGCTTCGCGTTCTGCAAGAAATGTTTCATGTTCAAAGAGATGGGGGAAGAAGCGCTGTGTGATGATGCCAGGCGTCATTTTTTTAAACATCAGGATTAGTGAACAAACTATATTTATACTGCGTGAAAATTACCGCATCTTCATGTTTCTGAAAAGGCTTTGCAATTGCATTGACACGCTGTGGTAAAAAAAAAAAAAAATCACGAGGGGAAAACTTGTAAAAAGTCTAGATTTGGTAGATGCTTAACATTATTTGTGATGGTAATGAATATGGAGAAGGTTTTATGGTAATCCATTGTTCTGTTTGGCTTTCACGTACAATGGCTTTGAAAAGAATGATTTTTAAAGAAAACAAAACCAGAGGCCTGATCTTCAGATAACTTAGTGATGGTGGCTAATTTTGGGGAGATGGTAGTGTAAACATTGCTGGGGCTTTGAGTCCCATAGCGATGAGGCAGTTTCTAGAGTACTGTTATTGTTTATGATCCGCTCCATTTTATGGAAACAAGCTCACTGGACTGAGGCTTTGAAGCTCTAATTGGCGCATGCGTTCTTCCGGAGCTAGAGCTAATGGCAGGAAGCCCTGCAGTAAAAACCAACTGGTTCAGGAAATTAAAACCAAAGATTTGAAAATCAACAAAACAGACAGACTCGGTGGAATGACCCTAAAATTCTCATGGTTAATCGTTTGGGGGTGAACATATAATTATATGCGATCAAGTTAAATTTTAAACACTTAGCTGTTTAATGCATTTTATTTAGAAGAGCTCTAGGAGTAATTATGATCAATATTAATCATTGGTGCATTGCAAAAGAATATAGAGATGTGGCTGAGGCAAACACATTTTCAGAGTAAATAGCTGTGAATAAAATGTACATAAATGGCTCTCTATATGTATGGACATGTAAATCGAAGCACACGTTCTAGGTGGATGGAGCCTGTCTATCTTAAAGTATCTCTTAGTCAACGTGAAGTTTTAAAAATTCTTATGCTAGATTTCACTCGTAACAATTGTTATGAAAATACTCATTTGCATTACCTTCAACTGAAGCAAAGAAAACTGCGAGATAAGATGTAATTAGCATTTCTGGCCCTAACTTTCTCAAAGAGAAAATGTCCAAGCTTTTGACAAGAAAACCCCAAGTAGAATGTAGTGGGGGTTTTGATTTTTTTTTTTTCAAATGGATTTTTGCCTCTGTGCGATGTGTACTGATGAGCTGTGTTTCTTTCCATCCCCACCCGTGCCTCCCTATTCAGGAGAAGCAGTACATCTAGCTAGAGATTTTGGGTACGTTTGTGAGACAGAATTTCCTGCCAAAGCAGTAGCTGAATTTCTCAACCGACAACATTCCGATCCAAACGAGCAAGTCACAAGAAAAAACATGCTTCTAGCTACAAAGTAAGACATTTAACTTTCTGGCATGTTGCTTAGAAATGAGGGAGGGGGACAAACTCAAGTTTGGGGCTTTTATTTGTGAAGATATTTGTTTGCTGCATAACCAGTGGTTGATGGCTTTGTAAGTTGTGAGGGTGTGTGTTGGCCTCCTGGTATAGGAGAACTCTACAGACCACCTTGGTTTCCTACAAATCAGTTTGTGCAGATTACCTTGAACGTGAATTGTGCAAATTGAGGGTAGATGTTTAGTTACAGAAAAAGCAATAATTCTGCAAAGCAAAATATTTTCTGGGCCTATTCACTTAGCTTATCAACTTAAGTAGGAGGGGAAGGCTTCCCATTGACAGTAAAATAAAACTGGCATATTAAACTGATTTCAGTTCATTAAAATCAGCAATGGTTCTTCCTGCCTAAGCAGCTCTGTTACTTAGCAAATACAGAGATATTAAAAATATATTTTAAATGACAATCTGTACGCAGTTAAAATGCTAGCGGAGTTTATTGTTGGTGGGGCTGCCTAGACTTCCAGGTGGTGCGTGAAAAGAAAATGATTGTTTTGGTATGTTTGCTGGAAATTAAAAGGGTTGTTCAGTAGCCCTTAATTACCAGTGGAGGTGTCACCAAAGGGCACAGTGCCAGAGGACACAAGCAGGAGATGGGAGCTGCTTTATGGCTGGAAGACATTAATGTGGGTTAGAATACAAACTGTTTCAACACGCCTCTGAGCTCTCTTGCTGTAAGGTGTGTTATTTCTCCAACCATTTGTGCAATGAGTGGGTGATATAACCTATCTTCTGCACCATGCCCTCGTATCCTCCCTTCTCACCTCCCTGGAAGGAAATTTCCAGGCACTGGTTAGCGTCAGCCTTCCCCTCTGTGGAAAGGTCCCTTTGGATTTGGAGATAGAGATTTACATATATAAATGTTTCAGAATACCCTAATTTAAATCCTCAGTTGCCCGCTCTGCCCTCACTCTTTTTCCTGACACACAGGTGTGTATTTTAGCCTTGTGAAGGAAGAGGCCCATATCTCTCTCTGGTTCTCCCCCAAAAAAGGAATCTTCTAAGATATGGATAAATCCCTTAGCCTAACTTTGGGTATTATAGCTGTCCGTTAAGCCTGCTCAGAACTTTAAAGTATGTTTGTGCTCCAAACCCCAGCTGGGCAGGGATGTGTGTTTGTGGAGGGTGTTAGGGGCTGTGATACAGAGAGCAGTGGGTCAAGAGGCATATGTCTCCATGTCCTGTGTGTGGAATGGGGCTGGGGTGTGATGTGTGGTGTGCTGTCGTGTGTGCATACAAGGTGAAGGGAAGAGGTTTGTGTGTTCTGGGGAAGTGTGAGAATTAGGGGAAGGGATGCATAGAGAGGAGAGGGAGAAGGGGGAAGAGTGTGTGTTCGGGAGCAGGAGTCCCTTTGATCCTGGGGCTTGTGCAATCTAGCAGGGAGAATGCACGGGCTTTGCTGCCACCAGTGATGGTTCATTTCTCTCCCTCTCTCTTCTTTTCCCTCCCTCCCTTCCTCCCTCCCTCTGTCTCTCTGCTCCATTTGTGCTACAGACAGATCTGTAAAGAGTTCACCGACCTGCTGGCTCAGGACCGATCTCCCCTGGGGAACTCGCGGCCCAACCCCATTTTGGAGCCGGGCATCCAGAGCTGCCTGACCCACTTCAACCTCATCTCGCACGGCTTTGGGAGCCCGGCGGTGTGTGCTGCCGTCACCGCCCTGCAGAACTATCTCACCGAGGCGCTCAAGGCCATGGACAAAATGTACCTCAGCAACAACCCCAACAGCCACACAGACAACAGCACCAAAAGCGGCGACAAAGAGGAGAAGCACCGAAAGTGAGGATCCCCCCCACATACACTCCTCTCCCTTCCCCCTCATAGCCCATCGATCCATTCATCTCCCTCCTCCCTCTCCCCGGCACCCAGCACCCCAGGCTACAGCAACAGCATGAGCGTCCTTCTGCCAGTCCTGTTCTCTGACTCTGCAGGACAGCTCTGCCCTCTCTCCACACCCCTTCCCGGCATCCACATTTCCATTTGCTTCCGCTTAAATTTCCCCCCTCTTCCCACTGCCACCATCGTTTTACCCCAGTTTGGAGCCTAAGAGAACAGAACAGGGGGACGGAGCCAGCAAAGAAAAAAAGTTCTGTCTTGAGTTTGTGAACTTTTTTTTAAATAAAACAAAAGGAGGAAAAAAACCAACAAAAAAATAAAACAAAAAAGAAAAGGACTTTTTTTTCTAAAAATATATTAAAAAATTAAAAAAAAAAACAAACAAAAAGAAATAAATAATACTTAAAAATTCTATGAGCTTCACCGGACTGAATCACCACCTTCCCTTACATAAACTTCAGTTAAGATTGTAGCCATACTAAAAATGAAAAAAAGAAGTGAAAAAGTACAACAGCAACAGGAGGCATACAAAAGGCAAAAAGGACTGATGACATTTTATCAGTATTGTGAATAAACTTGAACACAAAACACAAGCAGTTCCATGTCATATCTTCAGTTGTAGAACTTTTTCCTGTCCAAGGTAAAGCGACCAACTTGAACTTTCTATTGCAACACGATTCACGGTTATTATATAAGGGAATCAGTGTTCATGTATGTATATATTTATTTATGTGTAATTTAATGGGAATTGTAAATATGGTGAGTCTGTTTTAAGCCTTTTTTTATTTATCTGGTGATCTCGTTTACCTCTTGTTTAGTGGGTTTTAAATCTTCCCCTCTTAGTTCATCATGTGGTTCATGGTACTTATTTAGATATCAGAGGTTTTTTGGGGGTTTTTCTCTGGGATTCATCATTTTTAGCCCTGTTGTAGCATGTTAAAAGCGACAATGAAGCAGCAGAACAAATAAAAAAACATTAATTTTTATATATAATTAGTATGACATTTAGTTTCTCATTGAAGATAAAATAAAGTGATGTTGGACCCTGGCAAGGTTTTTAAACATGTTAGTGGTTTTACAACCCTTATGTGTTGTGGAAAATGAAAAAAGTTATTTTCATCCACTGTTATTCTCCTGAAAGCACCAACAGAGCAATAAATTAATATTGTCTTTTAAAACAAGATTTAGCTTTACTTTCCTTTTTCCACCGCCCTTTTTTTTTTCTTTCTCCCTTTCTTTTGTTTTTATTTTTCTCCTTTTTTTCTTTGCTTTTTTTTTTTTTTTTTCCCAAAGAACTTCAAACATTCGGGACCACCTGGTATCCTGTATTTCCACTGGCCATATTGGAAGCAGTTATAGTTGTGTTGTATTGAGTTGTGCCGGCAGTAGTTTCCATGCCTATCAATGTATCATAGTCCTTTGTTGCCCAGATAAATAAATATTTGATACGCTTTATGTCGATTTTTTTATTCAGTAGCTGTCTTTACCCAGGCGTATTTTTGTTCTTGGCAGTATTTTTTATTCAGTATGGTTACAGTAATTGAGTTTAACTCTCCCTTGACAATTGCTCCTTGCAATAAGCAGCTGAACCCATTGTTTCCCTCAAGTATAATAAAAACTTACTTTCAACTTGGAGTTCAGAGCAGGGTATCATTTAGATATTCCACTGAGTCTGTATTCAGACAAATGACACAATAAAGCACAATGTATTCTTTTGGATAAAAAATTGTCTGTACTACTAACAAAAATGACACACTATCTTTTCTTTGACCAAAACATAATTTTATTTAAAAAATAAAAGTTTTATTTTATTTATGTTGACCTCTAGGTTTTTATTTATGTTTATATATAGCATACAGAATTATAAGCCTATAAAATTTTTGTACGTGTAGTTGACCTAATGGAGAGCAGAGACAAAAAAAAAATACATATCAAGAAAGGCTTATTTATAAAAGAATCATTACTGAGAAAATGCTGAAAATTAATGCTATGAAAAAAAATTATACTGATAAATCAGAGCTCGGTGCTCCCTCCCCCTGAAGAAAAAAGAAAAGCTCCGTAGTTGATGCCAACAAAATCATCTCACGGTTGTGAACTTTAGTGAAATCTTGCAGGAGACAGATTATTTCTGATTGATGGTTCGTGTTTTAGTGGAATGCACAGACTGACATTTTGAGATGGCTGTGTCAGTTTATAAGGGACTGAAATTTTTATCTTGAGTTTCTTCTTGTGGAAACCAGTTGTGAAAAAGGGAAGTTCGCTTTAAAAAAACGGAGTGTATGTCTTGAAGATGGTCTATAAAAACATGTGAGAATTCAGATTTTGGATCTATTTTCTTTGGCCTGGGGGGTAGGTGAAATCAGGATCAGGCTGGATTATGTTATATCATAGGAAGGGAGACTTAATGCATTTTAGAATGTAAAGGCATTTTAAAGAGAGGGTTTCCTTTAAGTGCTGATGGTATTTTGGTAGTGGAGGCTGATTTTTCTCTCTCTTTCCTTTCCTCCCTGACTCTCTCTCTCCCCCTTTTTTCCCCTTTTTGTTCAGGCAGAAATTGAAGAGGTTAGGAAGGAGGTGTTTACAATAAAGCTGCACAGAGAATTAGCATTTACTCATATATTTTGACGTTTGGTAGAGCTGGTGAAGCAAAGCATTAGATAAAGCCCAAGATGTTTCATTTTGCTTTGGTAATCTACTTATGGAAGGCAGTGTAAAATCAATCTTGCCAAGCAGAAAGAGAGTTGGTGGAGTCTAAATTCTATTTTCGAGAGCCAGCTAGTTTATAAAAATGGTGAATATTTTTTTTCTATAAATTGAAAGTGGATCTTTTGAATGCAAAGCTGCAATTGTTTTAAAAACAGTTATTTATTATTTCCAAGAGAGACTGGTTAACCGTAAAGTAGATGTAACAAAATAATGAGGTGAATGAACCCTAACTGTACATATTCTTGACATAAATGAAATGCACAGTATTGTAGCAGGTGAAGTGAAGCATTGTCTATCAGGGCTGTTTTTCTTGGCTGCATCTCAGATTGTGTGTGGGATCCTAACCTCAGGCACAATAGCATTCATAAACAGCAATACATTGCTGCTCTTTCTACAGCAACACATAAATACTCATTTTTAAACGAAAACAATCTTATTAAATACCATTCATTCATATCTGGATTTACAGATGCTTGTTACTTTTTGAAACCTGTACCCAATATAATCGTTTTATACTGGTCAATGTATAAAGCAGTCTTATGCTAGAACATTATAAGGTCATAATAAGTAATGTTTTAAACATATAATTAGCTACTTCATGGTAGGAGAGCGCATTTTAGGTATCCTGCTGCTGGATTAGCAAGCCACCAAAAACCAGAAATGAAATGACCTTGCATAGATTTCTTTATTACTGTTATTTGTAAGGAAGGATATTACAGGCGATAATGGAAATCAGACTAGGTTCGGTTCAGCCTCTTCTGCTGTGACCCGTGTGCAGTTACTAAAACGTGCTAATTACTTCAGCATTCTTTGGATGCATTTTTAATGTTGTGATCGAGGTGCAGCAGTGAAATTCTGGGTCATGCTTTTTATACACTAAACAAAAATCTGTTGTTATTTTTTTCCCTCCCCCAGATCGGTTGAAGCGAGGGTGAGTGGTGGCTGAACGTTAGAGCGTTGCTGCCACGCTGAGCTAATTCCTACATGTGAACCAAAATACAGCTTGGTGCTCTTTCACCGTGAACAAGGACAGCCCTCCTCTTTGTACCGTATTTTACCCCACCCTCCAAAAATCAAATATTAATATAATTTGAAATTTAACTGGTGGAACAGCCATCAGGACAGCAATGCCCCGCAGCTGAAATAATATTTAAAATAGAAGAGATTTGACATTTGAGAAGTCAGTGGCTTGAAATACCCAGTTGTACTTAGCTAATTCAGTCCTTAACCTCTGGTTTCAAATAAATCAATTACAGTCGATTCCACTTCAGTTCAGAAGTGCACAAGGTTTTTAGTTAATTGAATACATTTTATTCACTTGCTAGGAGTATTCATTTACCCAAACCCTTACATTTAAAGGCAATTTCTTTATTGTCCATGATAAATTCGACTGCATAATCAGATCAGCTCCTTGTTTGTTTACTTGTCTTCTACCTTCCATTTAAATTCCAGAATGTGCATTTCCCTCCTTGGTACATGAATATCTCAGCCCAGATTCCCAGAGTCTCAGCCCTCATGCTAGGAAAGTGTAGCTAAAACAACAAGCGTCCTTCTGACGGGGAGCAGCATGAAGTCCATCCCAGCTAGTGAGGGCACAGTGATTTAAACTGGATCCATAATCAAACGTGAAAGATTTGGAGTATAAAAAAATTAATGGTGCCTTTGATTTTGTCCCGTGCACCTTTTCTGCGTGAAAGAGCTATGTCTCTGCTCCCTGCCCTGCAAGCAGCTGGAGCTGTTAACTCCTAGAGAGGATTTGGAGCCAGCTTGGTGTCAGCAGGATAAGGATTTTGTCGAGCACCGGGCAATGAAGTTGTGTCTCTGATCCACTTTGAGCAGATACTGGTATATACTTTGTGTGTGTTGTTTGCAGAATCCTGCTGGCGTTGGTTTACTGTTTTGGAAAGGAAAGGGGTTAATTAGCGTCATTATCAATCACTAATGCTCGTCTAACGTGTCCAAAGAATAATCAAGTTAGGGAACTGCATGAAGCTAACATCTGCTTCATTCCAGTTAAAGATTTTTCCTTATATCGTTCAATTATTGGAAGTCCACACCGGTTTCAGGCTTTGTCAGGGCCATAAAGCAGGGTCAGATCGTTAGAAATCTAGAATGGAGGGGAAAGTGCAATATAAATAACAAATGGCTTCATTATTTGAGTTACAGGTGCAAGAATGGCTGTGAAAATGAGTAGGGATTACTAGAATGTGTTCCTTCTTTTTATCTCCAATACGGAGGAAAAAATAAATCAGCCAAGCCCAGTTCTTAAATCATTTATTCTGCATAGGCTGCAGCCTCTGCATTTGCAGTATTTAGTAACCCCAAACTCCCAAAAAGAAACGCTTAAAGCAAGCGTTTGGAAACAGAGGAAAAGTGAAAGTCTTTTATGACCCATTACTAGCAGAGCCTTACTGGCTTCAGAGACCAAAATAGTCTTGTTTTTCTTCTTCTAGTTAAAGTTTCTCAGCTTTCTTGGGTGGATGAAACAGCTGACATTTCAGGCAGGATAAACAGATGTATCGCTCATGAAGGCAGTAAATATTTGCACCCTTAACTGTTACTCCTTTCTGATACTGTAAATACGAAGGTGTCAATCTGTGGTCTTTTATTCCCCCTTACAACAACTGCAGTCATGTCCCTCTGATGCTGAGTTTAACTT